GGCCTTCACAGTCAAGGAAGGAGTTTGGATCTTGTGGGCCTAAGCATCTGGCTGTAAGATTCTCGCTCTCACAGGCCTGCCCTTGGGACCCTGGCCCTGCCTGCCCTCCCTAGAAACCCCTCAGGGACCCTGTTGCGCTCCCTCCCCATGCTTTGCCTCCCACAGCAGGCCTGCTGGCTCAGGGCCAATATGACGTGGACCCCCTGCCTCCGTTCCCTGACCACGTCCAGTACACCCACTACAGTGACCAAATCGGTAAGGGCCATGCCCACCCCCAGGCCTCCCCCAGTGGCCATGTCATCAAGGCCTGGCTCTCCAGATGTGTATGGGTCAGCCAGGGAGGGGGTGGGGTGGGGTGGGGTGATGGGAATCTCTGGAGGTGGTCACTGGCTCAGTTGTGACCTTATTTGTCCCTGGAGCCAGCCTGACCCCTCCAATTCTACCTTCATCTTTGCTTTCAGAACCCCCAGACTACTATGACTATCAAGGTAAAGGACTGGGGGCAGCTGGGGTGGGGACGCCCACAGGGCCCTAGGGAAGGAGGGGGCAGAGCCCTTATCACCCCCTTGTTACAGAGGTGACCCCTCGGCCCCCTGAGGAGCAGTTCCAATTCCAATCCCAGCAGCAGGTCCAACAGGAAGTCATCCCGGCCCCCACTTCAGGTAGGCCACAGACCCCTGCTTGCACCCCCTCCCCTAATCCCTTTCAACCCAGAACTCCTGGAAGTGGGGTCTGTGCCCAGGCTGGGAGTGGTAACCCCACTGACCTTCCCACAGCCCAAGAGCCCCACCCTGCCCTGAGTAGACCCCTTCTAATGATCCCTGTCTCGCCCTTTCCCAACACCAGAACCAGGAAGTCCAGAGACGGAGCCCACGGAGCCTGGGCCTCTTGGTAAGAGGTTTCCTGACAGCAGAGAAAGGGCAGCATGGCCCAGAAGTTGGGGTAGCTGGGGGATGGTGGTAGGACAGAGACAGCCAGGCCTTTTGCTGTTGCTGGGTAGACAGTGTGGGCTGCTGGTTAGCAGTGGGGGAAGGAGGGGCTTGCAGAGCACCCTCACTTTAGGCTGGCAACTCCAGCCCCCTAAGGCAGCTCTGGGAGATCCCACCCTGCCCCCCTTGTTTGGCCAGAGGCTGAGTTGGCTGCAGCCTTGGAAAGGGCCCTTTACCCAAAGACGAGGGAGGGGCAGGGAGTGTGCTGGGGGCTTCCTGCCAGCCAGAAGGACTGAGTGGTGCACGTGGCAAGGTAAGGGGGGCAGGAAGCCCAGGCCGGCTGAGCCGGTGCCCCGTGTGCTGCCCCAGCCAAGAGCCTGCGCATGCGTGCGCGCGTGTGTATGTGTGTATCTGCATGCTCACTCTCATGCGGGTTGGTGTGTGTTGCTGTGTGTGAGCCTTTGAGCGTGTATGAATATGCCATGAGATTGGTGTGGACTTTTGTGACTGTGTCTTTGTGGATATGAATTTGTGGTTGAACTTAGGTGTGTTAAGTGTGGTTGTGAGTTTGTATCTGTATAAATACATTGCCTAAAATGGGGCAGCCCAGGAGGGTCTCATGGTGCTGGCGTGGGTGGGGGTGGGGGGATGGTGGCATGTGTCTGGACTGGGCGGCCTGAGGGTGAAGAGTGGTACCCAGACTCTGTGGCCAGTCTCAGGGTGTGTGAGGCTGGCAGCTACCCCCCGCCCCGGGACTTGCCCCACTCTGGGCCCCAGGCCGCAGCCCCTAGTCTGATCTCCACGTGTCACCCAGACTGCCGCGAGGAGCAGTACCCATGCACCCGTCTTTACTCCATCCACAAGCCCTGCAAACAGTGTCTCAACGAGGTCTGTTTCTACAGGTGAGCACAGGCCAGCACTTGTGGGAGGGTTATGGGGAGGACCGGTGGACTCCGGCAGCCAAGGTGGGAGTTTGGTAGAGATAGTGAGTACTGAAGTTGAGCTTAACTCTGGTTGAGCCCAGGCCTGGGGGACAGGACTCCCGGCTCCAATGCCAGGGTCTGTCCGGCTCTCCCAGTGGGGGTGGGGTTGAGACCTCCCTGGCCCGTCCCCCCAGCCTCCGCCGCGTGTACGTCATCAACAGGGAGATCTGTGTCCGCACAGTCTGTGCCCACGAGGAGCTCCTCCGAGGTAGGAAGGCCTCCACCCCCAGGCCTCCCCCTGCTCCCATGCCCATTTTGTTATCTGTCCGGCCATCCACCTCCTGGGGATCCTGAGCTCCATTCCCACCTACTTTTTACCCTCAGAACAGACCCCCATCACCAGGGTCGGGGAGGGGGTAGCAGTTCCCATCACCCAGCCCCGCCCTGATCCCCACCTCCTTCCTGCCCCCCCAATAGCTGACCTGTGTCGCGACAAGTTCTCCAAGTGTGGCGTGATCGCCAGCAGTGGCCTGTGCCAATCTGTGGCGGCCTCCTGCGCTAGGAGCTGCGGGGGCTGTTAGGGTGGAGCCGGCAGCTGCGCCCAGGACCCTCCTGGATCACGGGCCCTCAGGCCTGACCTAGTGCTTTTCACCCTTTCCTGACATTCCCTTTATTCTGTAAAAACGTTAGTGGACTACGGCCCTGGGGCTTGTGGGAGGCTGGGCCTCTGGCCCCTACCCCAGCCTGTGGCCACCCGTGGCGCAGAATGGGGGCTTCTACTGCCTAGTCTCTGCCTCCTGGGTGGGGAGTACCCCAGGCCTCTTTCTGTGGGACCTGGGCCCCTGATGTGTCTTCTTGGTCCCTCTGAGGACAGTTCCCCCAGAGTCCCCTGAGGTAGGCTATGCCTCGCCCCAGCTGGTCTGCTTGGATTTCCTACAGCCCCCCGGGCATGGACCACCTTTGTTTTATACAAAATTAAAAACAAGTTTTTACAAAACATTCAGAGTCACTTTTTCAGTTGAGAACACTGAGGGGGTGGCCGCATGCCTCCAACGCTGCCTGTCCCCACCGAGAGGCCGCCTGGGGAGAAGGGGCAGTTCAGGTGGACAGTGGTCTCAGTTCTGCAGTCCCTGTCCTGCCTCCTTACCCACTTTCTTCAGCTCTGACCTGCCCAGAAGAATAGGCCCCAAATGTCCCTCAGGATGCGTATGTGCGCGTGCACACGCGTTCGTGTGTTACAAGGGGTTGTCCAGGGGTTAGAAGGTTCAAGGCTACAGCTTTCTCACCATTAGAGCTGCTGGGAGAGGGCAGGAGTCCCCCATCACCGGGGCGTGCAACCCAAGACTGGGTGCTTATGGGGAAGCTTATGGGTATATGTGGCGTAGTGTAAGGCAGGAAGTCAGGGTAGGTGGACTCAGACCAAGGGCTTCTTGGCAGTAGGGTGGGGAGGAGGCTGGGGTAGTTCAGAGGGCAGAGGCAGGTAAGCCAATGTAGCATCTCCCTCTGACCAGCTCTGAATGAGTACCCTCACACAGTCCTACTGAGCATTCCGAACAGCTCTACGTGGCGCGATGGTTAAGCGCTAGGCTACTAACCGACAGGTCAGTGGTTTGAGCCTACCCAGCAGTTCCTCGGGAGAAAGACCTGGCAATCTGCTTCCATAAAGATTACAGCCAGGAAAACCCTACGGGGCGGGTCTGTTTTGTCACATGGGGTCATTATGAGTAAGAATAGACTCGAGGGCACCCAGCAAGCTTACAGACAAGAAAACTAAGCCCAGAAACATTAAGTAATCTGCCCAGTGTTCCAAAGCTCTATGCGGAAGAGCTGGGTAAGAACCTAACTCTGTTGGACTCCAAAGAAGGACAATTTCTAATTTCCCCTTGAAAACAGTGATTGGGTACCTCCTATGGGTACTTCCTCATAACCACCCTATGAGGTGTTGCTGTTGTGGTGTGCTATTGACTCATAATGACCCTGCAGGACAGAGTAGAACTGCCCCGTAGGGTTTCCAAGGCTGTAAATCTTTACAAAAACAGACTGCCACCTCTTTCTCCCGCAGCGGAGCTGGTGGGTTCAAACCGCCGACTGTTTGCGTAGCAGCAAAGCATTTAACCACTATGCCACCAGGGCGCCTTCCCTGTGAGGTAGGTTCCCATTTTACAGATGAACAAGCTGAGGCTTGGGGAGGCTAAGCAGTGTTGCCCAGGATCACGCAGCAGAGCCAGGGGCGTTTACTCCCAAGCCTGCACTTGTTTGACCTGAGGCCCGTAGGACCTGTCGTTGCCCAGAGGGTGGGCCTTGCCCTGACGAGGGTCCAGAGAAAGGGGTGACAAAGCTTTGGTGGAAAGAGTTGAGCTGCCACAGCCTCAAGCCTCAACTGCCCCATATGTTTAAATGGGGGTAAATGGCCTTGTCACCTGACATTCTGTGAGACTGGGAAAGTTTCTCACCCCTCCACACAGGCCCCTCTGTTCCTCTGCCCCCTGTTCCCCCCTGCCAGGTGGTCCCAGTCCTCTTGCCCAGGCCCACCATCCATTTCCCCTTCCCCTCCCCGCTGGAGGGGGCATGGTAATAGTATCGTAAAGAGACATGTCTGTACAAACCGTTTGTAGAAAATAGGGTCTTCTTCTTACAAAAACACAACAGTTCTGAACAGTGAACATTGTAAAAAGGTATAAAAATACAGGGACTCTGCTCTCTAATGAACTTCCTGACAAACACTCTGAACTAAGGGGGAGAGATCTCTGGGAGGCTGAAGGCAGGGCCTGGGTACCCCTCCTCTTTCCCATAAGTCCATGCTCCAGGGCTGGCCAGAGACAGAGGTCACCCCCGCCCCTGGCTCTGGCTCAGCCACCCTTAAGGAGGGCCTCCTACAATCTAGAGTGGGGCGTGGGGGGGCAGTGAACTGAGGTGGGGCCCACAGGCGGGATCCCAAGTGATGTTGGGTAGTCACTGCTGGGAAACTGCTGTTTGTCTGGCCTGGAGCTGGAGCCCCCCACCTCTCACTGCTGCCAGCCAGCTCCTCCTCACCCTCGGCCAGGCTCTGGGGGCCCTGTCAGCCAGGCCCTGTTCGCCTTGTGCTGGAGAGGAGGTCCCTCTTCTACCCTGGCCACAGGGCTGTTCTCTAGGGTCCCCAGGAAGGGGCTTATTTCCCCGAGGGACCAGAGGGTGGAGTAAAGGGTGCTGAGCTCCTTCGGAACTCCTGCTGCAACTGCCCCTTCAGTGTGGACACCTGGGGAAGACAGGAAATGTAGGATCAGTCCAAGTCCCCAGCCTGATGTCAGAGGGAGGTGGGTGACTAGTGGAGGACCCCTCAGCTACAGATGGGACCTCAGAAGGGACCCGATGCTCCCTATTTCAGAAAAGATCTGGTCTCATTTTGCTCCATGTAGCAGACAGGTGTCTTCTGACTGCTCAGCATACCTTTGGGAGGCTAACCCAACCCTATTTTTGGTCCCCATCATCATTTGGGTGGGCCTAGCCCAGACTCCAGGGGTAGACATGTGACACAAGCCTGGCCTATCAGAGCACCCTTGCAGACATGATTGGTTCAGGGATGGCCAGGAAGAGACATGTGACCTAAGCTGGCCAATGAGGATCATCCCTGGGACTTTTGCTGTTGCTCTCAGGAAAAGGCTGGCTCTCTTCTCTGACTTGATGGGCTAACCTGAGGCTGAAGCTCCTGGGGGCCATCTGTGCCACCGGGGAGAGGGCCTGCCTGGGCATGGAGCCAGAGGAAAGCAGAGTCATGAAAAGAGGGACTGAGCCCCAATGACATCACTGGAGCCCCCGGATCCAGTCATGCTTGTCACCAGCACAGATGACCCTGAACCTTCTCAGTTATAGGAGTCTCAACTACTTATACCCAAGAGGTCATGGCTAGCCCTCTCCTCCTCCAGCTCTACTTCCATCCTGGCCCAGTCTCCCCAAGTGGTGAGTCCTGCACCTCCTGGGGAGGGGCTGGAGCCCAGGAGGCCTGAGTACCTGCTCCTCCAGCCCACGCACCCTCTGGCGGTGGGCACGCTCCCTCGCCTCCAGGGTGCGCTCCGTCTGCACCTGGGCACTGCGCAGGCGCTCCACCTCCTGCTGCAGCTCTAGCCGCTGCTGCTCATCTGCCTCCAGCTGGGCAGGACTGTGGTTTTGCTCCATCACCACCACCTGGGCCTGCAGGAAGGGGTGCTAATCCGGGAGGTCTGGCCCAGAGAGTGTGTGTGTGTGTCCCCTTGGGGCAAGGCCAGTTCATCGTGTGTGTGTATATGTGTGTGTGTGTGTGTGTGTGTGTGTGCGTGTGTGTGTGTGCGTGTCCCCTTGGGGCAAGGCCAGTGCAGATGAGATGCAGGCAAGATCCTTGCTTGTCCCCCACACCTCTGACCCTTCAGTATACCTGTGAATCCTGGGTCAGGGTACCCAGTGAGCCCCACTCAGACATGCACACATACACACACAGACATATTCAAATAGATCCATATACATACGGGTACAAAGGCAAACATGCAAGTACTTACGTTCACACAGATGCATACATATGTGCGAAAATCCAATACTCCTAAATATATCTACGTACATGATAACAGACATCTGTACACAAACACATATACACACATATATATTTAGACATGCCCCATTGTGCAAAGCATCCATGCTACATGCACAAGGATACACACATGTACACTCATACTGTTACACGACCACTACATGGACACACAGGCTCACGTGCTAACACACCCTTAGTGTCTCTCTTCTCTCCACCATGGGGAAGATCCCTCTCTCTAGGGCCTAGCTCTAGGACCCCACCCAAGGGGCTGGGCTCCTGGGTGGTAGGGTTTGAGGGCCCTGGGCTGGCTGAACCACCAGCTCTGCCGGGGCTGCCTGGTACTCAGGCTGGGGCAGGGTTGGGGTCCAGGGCTAGGTGGGCAGGAACCAGACCTCCAGCTGCTGGATCTGCCTCTGGGCCTCAGCCAGCTCCAGCTCAGCCCCCGTGAGTGTGCGGTCCAGGCGGCCCTTCTCGGCACTCAGCCGCACTGTATCCTCGTGGCTGCGAAGCTTCTCCCTCTCCACCTAGGTGAGGAGACCAGGGGAGATCAGGGTGCCTGGGGAAGGAGGGAGGCCCAGGGAGGGGGCTTGGGGTTCCAGTCCCCATGGCAATAACGTAATGCCAATTGAGGCAGCAGGACCAGCATGGCTAGGACCCAGAGGAAGTGAGGGGTGGGCCCTGGGGCAGCAGCTCACCTTGTCCAGCATTCTCCTGAGGGCAGCCCTGTCCTTCTCCAGCCGCAGGGCTGACCGCTCCGCCTCCTGCTTCTCAGCCTCCAGCTGCGCCAGGGCGCGCTGCAGGCTGCCCAGGCGCTCCTGCAGCAGCCGCCTCTCGTCCTGCAGCTTCTGCACCGTGTGCAGGGCTACAGCCTCGCTCTCCTGCCGCTGCCGCAGCACCTGCAACAGAAGCCAGGCAAGTCCAAATCCCTCTGGGCCTCAGTGTGTGCATGTGAAGCTTGGAGATGCTGGTGCTGGCCTGCTGTGCTCAGTCACTCGCAAGGTGACTGGGAGGCCCATAGCAGAGAACTGTCACCGTAAGCCAAACTCATCTCCTCTCTGAGCCTCAGTTTCTCCATCTGTATAATGGGGGTAGGGTCTGAATGATCCATGCTTCCTCACAGGAGGCAGGGCCTGGGTTTGGGGATAAGGTTGAGATGGGTAGGAAGGCCCCTACTGCGTCTACAGGGTCCCCCAGTCCTGGGGACAGAGGGGGCCTACCCTGACCCTTACCTCTTGCAGCTGTTGCAGCTGGCCCTCAGCCTCTGTCCGCTGCAGCTCCAGGTCAGCAAGCTCACCCCGCATCGTCTGCACCTGCTCCCCTAGGGAGTTGCTCTGCTTCCGTGCCTCAGATAACGCCTGCCGGGCGGCCTCCAGCCGTTCCTGGGGAATGAGGGGGTGGGGGTGGGGGGTGGGGGGTGGAGCTGGTGGTGCCAGGCTGGCCTGGGGCCCTGAGGCAAAGGGCTCCTCTCTACCTCCAGGCCGGGCACGCAGCCCACAGAACAGGGAGTCATCTCACCTGGAGGCTGAACCAGACCGCAGACCTGGCCCACAGCCTATCCACTGATCTGGGTAAGGAAGGGATCACTCAGACCCCAGCTCTCCCCTATTTACCCTGCACCTGGGTCCCCCAAGTCTGTACTCCTAGGCTTGCTCTCTTATTGCCCCCCAGAGCCTTCTCTATTGGCTGACCCTTACTGAGCTTCTCCCAAAGCCTGCTGTCATTGGCTGATCCTCTACCAGGACCCCTCCAATCTTCTCTTATTGGCTGACTCTCTCACTAGGCCCACACCCGCCGGCCCCTACAACCCCCATACCTGGAGCACTTGTCGGTCATGCTCACAGGCTGTCAGGGCCTTCTGCAGGTGCAGGTTCTTGTCCTGGGTGCTGGTGAGGCTGGCACTGTTCTGGGCCAAGGTCTCTGTCAGGCCCTGCACCTTGTTCCGCAGGGCCCCCTCACTCTCTTCCACCTTGGACAGGACCCCGCTCAGCCGCTTCACAGTCAACTGCAGGGTCCCCGCCTTCACTTCACTGTCTGCCACCTGGCAGGAGGACAGGATGGTCAGGTGGCTCTGTTCCTGCTGTGCCCTTCACCAGGTGTACTCAACCCAAGCCCTTCCCATCTCTCTCTTCATCACTGATACTCACTGTTCTTGCTCGCTCCCACTGGCTAAGCCTACTGCAACCTGGGCCCCATTCCCACTGCCAGGTAACTACCCTTTCCCAGAATGCCATTGACCTGGTTATCTCAGACCCCAGCGGCTTCCTCCCTGCCCTCATTCCCCTCTCCTCCTTGCTATGGAGGAGAAAAGGTAACCACCACAACCCTGGAATTCTCTGTGTTCCTGACTTAGATGGATGACCCTGCAGGGCTAGCAGATTTACTGGACATTCAAATTAGAGCTAAACTTCCTGGCAGCCAAGGCAAAAAGGGAAATGAGTAATCTATGTCTCTAACCTGTCCCTCAGGCCCGCATGAGTGCAGATTCTGTAGTCAAACAGTCCCAAGTTTTAATTCTGGATCTGCCTCTAAGTAGCCATGTGACCCTGGGCTAGTGACATCACCTCTTTGAGCCTCCATCTGCTCATCTCTGAAATGGGGATGATGATATTACCTGCCTCACAGGGTTGTGGGTTGTGGGTTTACAGTCCCTGTAAAGTGCCTGGCACAGGGCATGCAGATGTGTGGCTGTGAGTGGGGGAGGGGCCCACCTGTCTCTGCAGGGAGTCTACCCGATCCTGGAGGGCCTGGGCCTGGGCCTCACGGTCACTCAGGCCCAGGCGACTGCGCTGCAGCTCCCCCTCGAGTGAGCGCCGCTGCAGCTCAAGCTTGATGGTGCGGCTCTCGGAGGCATCCAGGACCTCCTTCAGGCGCCGCTTGTCACTCTCCAGCTTCACCTCGTTGGCCTTCATCTTGCTCATCTTCTCCTGCGGGTTGGGGAGGGCTCAGGCTCCAGCTGTCCTGCCCACCCCACAACCCTGCCCCCACCTCAGGACGCTTAGGAGAAAATAGGAAGCAGCCCTGAAGTGGCTGGTCCAACCACTCGCTGTGTGACCTGGGTCCAGCCTGTGACCTCAGGGCCTCAGTTTCCCCATCGGTTCACAGGATGGTGGATGTGAGGCTCCCTGAGCATCTTTCAGTTTTGCCTGAGTCTAACAGGCTGTGTAATCTAGAACTATCCCTTCCTGCTCTCTGGCCCTGTTTCATATCTGTATAGTGGGGAAACTGGATTGGTCTACAGGTACCAAAATCTGGGTGCTCCTAAGAGCCCTGGGAGGGGGCTATAAAATAAAGATTCCAGGGCCCTTGCCCTGCTCACCCAGTCTCTCTCCAGAGGCAGACCCGGAAGCCACATGTGTAATCTGAGCTGACCAGGACAGCCCTGGGGGGCAGGAGTCCTGGCCTCACTGCTCTGGAGTTTTAGTGGATGATGTTGCTCCCTCCACCACACGGGGTCAGACAGTGAAGGAGCTTGGGAATTGAGGACAGAGCAGGAAGACAGTCTGGGGGTTCAGTGCTGCCATTCTGGAGACAGGGTGGGTCAAGGGGGGAGCTATTGCAGCCCCCCACCCCAGGCCAGGTCCCCTTCCCACCAGGCTCCCCCACAGCCCCATCCCTGCCCTCTTCTGGGCCCTGCAGCCCCCACTCTGGCTCCTGCCCATCTTTGTTCCTGGCCTCCTCCTGCGGCCCCTGTGGCTGGGCCCAAGGCCAGAGCTAGAGCCGCAGACACAACAATCCAGCTCATGCTGGGCTCAGAGCCAGAGGCAGGGGTGGGCTGTGGGGGCAGTAATGCAGGGCCAGGAGAAGGATGGGAGAGGGAGAGAGGGAGGGGATCTTTGGCTCCATGAGGGACTCAAGGCTGTAGCAACCTAGACTAGCATCACCAGCATCTGGGCTTCCTGCCCCAGACACACACGCACACAAGCACACACTCATACACACAGCTATGCACGAATGTCCCCCAAACACACATAAAAACCCCAGGATACCACTCGCATGGCTATACAGAGACATGCAGAACACAAAGAAGAGAACAGAGGGCCCCTGTGCACCACCTTGCATCAAGAGCCTCTGTGCACCATCTGTGTGAGACAATCACGGGCTCCCCTTTCACAGTTGAGGAAAGGAGAATCAGATAGCTAACTGGCCCCAGGCCAATAGAAAGCAGCGCCAGGACTTGAACCCAGGTCTGTCTGGCTCAGAAGCTCAAGCTCTTTCTTCTAGAGCCTCGTGATGTCAGTGTGAAATGGGATGGTGGAATCTGAACATGCTTTTGTAGAAAGAATTACAGGCTGGTCACTTCAGTGGTTGCTTTGAGCCTCAGGCAGACAGAAACAGACACACACAGGATGTACAGACGTCCATTTGCACATACACAAATCCCCCTCACAGCCCACTTGCCCTCAGCTCTGCCTACCTGGCTCACCCGGTGCTCAGCCTCGGTGGCCTGCAGGCTTCTCTCCAGGGCAGCCACCTGGTCCAGTGCGGCCCTGCGCTCCCGCTCACTGCGCTGCATGCTCTCCTCCTGCAGTGCCAGCTTCGCCTGGGCCCCACTCAGCCGCCCATCCATACTGCGCCGGGCTGCAGACCACCCAGCCCGTCAGGCATGACTAGGCATAGCCCCAGGCAGAGTGAACCAGGCCACAGATTCCCTGGCTTGCTCTCCACCCACCACAGGACCTGCCTCTTTGAGCCCCAAGGGTCTATGGGTCTAGACACTATGTGGGGGTGACCAGGAAGGGCCTCTCAGAGGAGACAGCCCCTGTCTTGGTCATGGTGACCAGGGCAGGGAAGCAAGAGCTGCTCAGGCCAAGTCCCCCACCTCCCACCTCAGCTCTTAAGGGCACAAGAGGGCAGAGCAGGGACCCAGAGGGTCAGACTCACCTTCCTCGCTCTCGGCCACAGCCTTCTGCAGCTGCTTTGCCCGTGAGGTCGCGCTGTCCCTCTCAGCCTCCACCTCGGTCAGTTGGCGACTCAGGGTTCTTGTCTGGGTCCGAAGCTCGTCCTGCAGCCCCGACGGGGAGAAGGGGCAGAGCCCTGCTCTGAACAACCTGCAGCCCTCACAGGGCCTTCAGTCACCCAGTTCTCTATCCAGCCACTCACACCCAGCCTCACCCGCTCTCTCTGGGCGCTCCGCAGCTCCTGCAGGAATTCCCGAAGGGCCCCCCGCACTGCCTCTGGGTCCAGGTCTGGAGGTGCCGGGGAGGTGGCAGGTCCTGGGGATGGTGGTTCAGACCCAGGGCTGCGTTCTAAGGAGCTGGGGCTGCTGAACCCCTCCCCGCTTCCTGGAAGGAGAGACATGCTCAGGGAGGCAGGGACCACCGGCCCCTCCTGCCTGGATGGTGGCTGCAGGCTCCTCAAGCATCTTATTCACTCCCATCCCTGCCATCTCCAGCAGCCCGTGTGAGCTTTCCATAACGAAAACTAGACCATGTCACCCTCTTAAAACCCTCCACCAGCCCCCACAGCCCTCAGAATCAAGTTCAACTTTCTTGCCACAACTTAGAGGCCTTGCTGCCCACCCCAGCATCACCCTCTTGCCCTTTACAATGTGGCCACACTCCACCACTCTCAGCTCCAATGTTCTACGGCATTCCCTGTTCTAGCCTCAGGGGCTTCGTACATGCTATTCCCTGGCCTCCCATAGCTCCTCTTTGTCTGGCCTATCCTTTAGGCCTAAATGTAAATGTCAGCCTTCTGAGGCCTCCCTGACCCCAGCTGGGGTTGGGGGGAGTTCATCCCACCTCGTAGGGGTCTGATATCTGCTTCCCTGCCCACACCATGAGCACCATGAGGGCTTGGGCCTCATCCCTCCTGTACACCACCATGCCCCCGAGAGCCCAGTCCAGGGGTGGACATTCCACCCCTCAACATCTCCCTCGTACTGAGTGGTTTACTAGGTGCCAGGCACTGGGCCCATGCTTTCCATGTGCCAACTAATTTCATCTTCACAGTAATTCCCCAGGAGGTTTAAGTACCAGTTTCCCCACTTCACAGACAAGGCAGGCTCAGAGCAGTTAAGTGATCTGCTGAGTTTCAAAACTGGGAAGTTCTGGGGGTGGAATTTTAACCCAGGCAGCCTGACTTCTGGAGTTCCTGGGTGGAGCAAATGGTAACGTACTCCAGTACTAGCTGAAAGACCATTCAAACCCACCAGAGGCTCCTTGAGGTCGCCTTAAGTTGGAATTGGCTCAACAGCAACTAACAGCAACAAAGCTCAGCTCCCAGAGTGAAAGAAAACCTTGAATACAGCTTGGCAGATGATGGGCAATGGGGAGGTGGGAGGGGGCAGAGCAGACAGGAACAGGGCGGCACCTGGAGGTCAGCATTGGAACTGCAGGAAGGGATCAGCCCGCCGTTAGCATCCTCCTCCTCTGCCAAGTGACACCTAAGCAATCCTACAGACACGAGTTGTTCAGCATCCAAAGGCCCCCAGAGCAGGATGTCCACCCAGTGTCTCCTGAAAGACCCCATCCTACTCAGAGCAAAAACCAGCACCCTCATAGTGGCCTGCAAGGACTACTTGGGCAGGCCCCTTGTCCCCACGACGTCAGCTCCAGTCCTCTCCACCCTGCTCATTACACTCTGGCTACTGATAGGGCAGGCACGTCCACTTAGGACCTTTCCACCTGTCCTCAGAGCCTCCTCCCCCAGGGGCTACACGCCCCAGTCCCTACACAACCTCAGTCCTTCCCCGACCTACCACTCCTCAGAGAGGCGCTTCTGTCCGCACACAAACAACCCTACCCCTCCTTTGGCTTGTTTTTCTCTATAGCCATTATGGCCCGATTCATTATATACTCAACTTACACATGATGTTTACTGTCCACTATCCCCCACGTGTCTGTCAGTTCGTTGGACTGTGGGGGTTAGCATGTTGCTGTGATGCTGGAAGCTATGCCACCAGTATTCAAATGCCAGCAGGGTCACCCATGGCAGACAGGTTTCAGCTGAGCTTCCAGACTAAGACAGACTAGGAAGAAGGACCTGGCAGTCTACTTCTAAAAAGAATTAGCCAGTGAAAACCTTATGAATAGCACCTGGACGATAAGCTGCATAAAAGCAGAGATGCTTGACAGTTTCGTTTACTGCCCTGTTCCCAGTGTTTCAACAGTATCTGGCCCATAAAAAAACAGAAAAACAAACCCATTGCCATCGAGTCAATTTCGACTCATGGTGACCCCATGTGTTATGAGTAAAACTGCTCCATAAGGTTTTCCTGGCTGTAATCTTTGTGGAAGCACATCTCCAGGCCTTTCTTCTGCAGTGCCTCTGGGTGAGTTTGAACTGCTGACCTTTCAGTTAGCAACAGAGCGCTTAACCACTGTGCCATCAGGCACATCCCACTGCCTTCGAGTCGATTCCAACTCATAGTCACCCAATAGGACGGAGTGGAAATGCCCCATAGGGTTTCCAAGGCTGTAAATCTTTACAGAAGCAGACTGTCACATCTTTCTCCCACAGAATGGCTGGTTGGTTCGAATCACCGACCTTTTGGTTAGCAGCCAAGTGCTTTAACTACTGCGCCATGAGGGCTCCTCACCAGGCACATACCTGTTGCCAATGAGTCAATTCTGACTCATAGAGACCCTGTAGGGCAGAGTAGAACTGCCTCATAGGGTTTCCAAGGAGCAGCTGGTGGATTTGAACTGCCAACCTTTTGGTTAGCAGCAAAGCTCTTAACCACTGCACCACCAGGGCTCCCACCAGGCACATAGTAGGTGCTTAATAAGTATTTGTTGAATGAGTGAATGAACAAACATGATCCTGGCGCTAAATCCGTGCACTTGATAAGGCTACAACTCAGCATCCCATAGTCAGTACTCCATAGTTCTAAGGTTCAACAGGGTCTAATTATAGGTCCTCGGAATCAAGATGAGATTTCAGTCAGACTGGAGACAAGATGATTGCTTCCTAAAGGGCCCCGGCCCCCTGAGGCACAGGGCTGGTTTTGTCACTGTCATCCACTGGGCACTGGGGCAGGTGGTGCTGGGAGGATCTCTTAAGAAGACCTTCCTGGAAAGGGGAGGTCAGGCCTGGCTGTGTGTCTGAGGGAGATGTCAGTGTCACAGGCCTGGTGTGTAAGGGTGTGGAGCTGGGGAGCGTGAAGAAGATAGGGTGCTGGTGAAGAGAGCGAGGGGGTCAATTAAGAGAACGGAGACTCAAAGATTCAGAGGAGTTAGGGGCATTAAATGCACCACTCCTCCCCAAAATAGAAGTGATCCACGCAGGGCACAGGTCAGTGAAGGCGAGGAGCCTTGGTGAGGAGGTGGGGCTAGAGACCAGACTACGTGTGGCCTTGCGGAAGGTGGGCTCTTATGGTGGAACAGAATTAGACGAAGAGCTGGAGCCGGAGGGGGCGGGACCTTGGAGAGGAGGCAGAGACTGGGCGAAGTGGGCGGGACTAGGGACCGGGGCCTCGAGAGAGGGGCGCGGGCCTGCCAAGGATGGGCTCCTTCGTGGAACAGAACTAGACGAGGGGCGGGGCCTCGGCAAGACGGGGCCCGCCCACCGGCCCTCCGCTCCTCCTCGCGGCGCTCCACTCACCTCCAGTGGGTGCGCCTCGGACCGGGGAGTCCGGCGATGGCCGCGGGGCAGGACTGGGCGCGCGGCCGAGGCCCAGGCCGCGGCGCAGGGCCGAGCGCAGGCCTCCCAGCTGGGCATCCGCAGCTCGCCGCTGCGCTTCCACGCGGGCCAGCTCAGCCTCGAGGCCTTGCGCCCGGCCCTCGGCCGCGCTCAGCCGCAGCCCTAGCTCTGCAGCCTCGGCCCGCGCGGTCTCCAGTTTCAGCTCCAGGCTGCGGGCATGGTCCAGCTGTTGCTTCTCAGTTCCGCGCGCCTCCTCCAAGGAGCCCAGCAGGCCTCGCTCGCGGGCCCGGAACTCTCCTTCTTGATCATGCAGCTTCCTCTGGGCCCCCTGGAGCTGGGGTGGAGACAGTGAGAGGAGGTAGGGCTCAAGGGGTCAGCAGGGTCACCCCCCACCCGACGCCCCGTCTCCACGCCCCGGCCTGGCGCCCACTCCCTAAATGGCATGCACAACACCTGTTCCTTTAGTGGTCTCCACCCAAACGGGGGTGCAAGAACATCACAGGAGTGTGTGAGGAAACCATTAGAATTTACTTTTTATCTCTTCCTTCTCTGTATATATGCCTTATAATGTATACATTTAATTAATAATAATAACAGCTAACACACAGAGATAGGGCTTATCACATGCCAGGCACTGTGCTAAATACTTGCCAAAAAATTTAATTCTAATTACCACTCTGAATTATCCCTGTTTTATAGACGAGGGAACCGAGGCACAGGGCAGTTAAGTAACTTACCCAAGGTTACACAGCTAATAAGCTGCAGAGCTAGAATTCAAACTTAGGCACTCTGGCTCCAGAGGCTGTCCTCTGGAGCCCTCCACCGGACCAGTTACCTCCATTAAGCTGCACTGCCTCTCAGTGCATAATTTATAATTTATAAGTAACCCCACACACAATGGGGGAATGTACTAAAAAATTACTGATAAGGATACAATAAAATGAGTGATCACAATAAAAGAAAAACCCTCTGGTTTAGAGAATAAGCTAACCCATGGTTATCACAGTTTCACTGAAAACTATCATCTACTGATGCCCACCTGAATGCCAGGACCTGTACTAGGGTTCTACGTATATCCCTCAATGTACTAGCACCTTCCCCATGAGGACTCTGAAGCACAGAGAGGTTAAGTGACTCGGTTAAGGTCACACAGCAGATTTGCAGCAGTGACACAGCCAGAGAAGATAGAGTGGAAAAAGTACAGACAGACCTGGGAGACTATGTGACCTTGGGAAGATCCTTTGACCTCTCTGAGCCTCACTGTCTGGTTATCTCAATAAAATGGGGCTAATTATACCTATCTCAAGGGGCTGCTGGGAGGATCAAATAACAATGTCTACAGAGCACTCCAGTTGATGCCTGTACACTGTAGGCCCTCAGATCTCGCAGTTATTATAACTGTAACTGGGAAAGAGTCTCAAGGAGTGGAGGACAGGGACAAGTCCTAGGGGGGTCTCTCAAAATGACTGCAGCATTGGGGTCCCTATCTGCTTCCCAATGGAGGGAGGAGAGAAGGAGAGGATAGCCTACCCACCTTCTAGGGGCCTCCACCTCCAGGCAGCCCACCCACCCGACCAGTTACCTCTTGCCGCACTGCCTCCAGGCTGGCCTCGCCTCTCAGCAGCTTCTGCCGTAGGCCCAGGGCCTCCCGCCGGCCCTCCTTCTCTGCCCGCTCGCCCAGCACCAGGCGGCCCTGCAGCTCTGCCAACTCCCGACCCAGCCTGGCATTCTCACTGTCCAGCATCTTCATCTGCAAGAGAGAGAGCAGCCATGGATAGAGCCTAGGACTCATGCTCAGCACCCACAGTTCCTTCCAGCTTGCCCACAGGCTTGGACAACAATCCATTCAGCTCTACCTCTATACCCCACCCAGTCCAGGCCTGGCCCAGGGGGCACTCAGGACCCACTGCTCTAGGAACATGTGCATCAAACACCACCCTCAATCCAGGTAAGCCCACTGAGCTTAAACCATGCCAGGCACCTGGGCACCAATAACCTCAGTTTACCAGTTAATCAACGGGCTATTAACTCCTTTCATGGGGGGAGGGGGAGAGGAGGAAGGGAGTGCTAAGCCGCTATTAGACCTGGAGATTTTCAGGGCAAGAACCACAGCTCCCTGGGTCACCTTTCATCTCTACAATGATGACTAACTTCCATGGGGTGCTTCCTGTGTGTCCGGCACTGTTCTAAGCACTTCACTTATATTAATTCTAAACCTCACACAACCATATAGGGTAGGGTACTAACATTATCCCTATTTAACAGACAAGAAAACTGAGGCTCAGAGAGGCGAAATGACTTGCCCAAGGTCACACAGCCAGAAAACAGCAAACTGGGATTCAATCCCAGGCACATAGAATGCAAAGCAGAAGTAGATAGAGGGTAATGCCCACCTACTCCACATTGCTACACTATAGTGAGTGTAACACAAGCTCATGCTATAGCGTGCAAAGCCCCAGCAGGGGCCTGGCACACAAAAGTGGGTTGCCTTTCAAGGACTCCCATGCTTTCCCAGGACTTCAGCCCAGCAGAAGGGGGCCTGGGTAGAGGGAGCCTGGGCGGGAGGTGGAGGTGTTGTTCTTACGTGCCGTCGAGTCGGTTCCGACTCATATTGACCCTGTGTAAAACAGAATGAAACACTGCTCGATCCTGTACCATCCTCACAATTGTTGTTATGCTTGAGCCCACTGTTGCAGCCACTGTGTCAGTCCATCTCGTTGAGGGTCTTCCTCTTTATTCGATGACCCTCTACCAAGCATGATGGCCTTCTCCAGGGACTGATCCCTCCTGACAACATGTCCAAAGTATGTAAGATGTAGTCTCACCATCCTTGCTTCTAAGGAGCATTCTGGTTGTACTTCTTTTGGCAGTCCATGGTATATTCAATATTCTTCACCAACGCAATTCAAAGGCATCAGTTCTTCTTCAGTCTTCTTTATTCATTGTCCAGCTTTTGCAGATGGAGAGGACTGGTTTCTTGGGCTGTGTTATCTCTGGGTGGGGTAGAGCCTAGGGGCCAACTGGGGCTGTTTCTATTCTTCAAGTCTCCTAGAATAGGAAAGCCCGAGCCCATAGTGTCCAGGGCAGTGCCCAGTATGCAGCAGACACTTGTTAAAAATGCTTGCTGTTGCTGATGAGTTTGGAGACCATCTAGTTCAGGGCTCAGTGAACTACCGCCAATAGGCCAGATCTGGCTGGCTGCCTGTTTTTGTAAAGACTGTGAGCTAAGAATGGTTTTTGCATTCTTAAATGGTTAAAAATGGTTCATTTTTAAATAGTTGAGAAAAAAATCAAATAGTATTTGACACCTGAAAATTACATGAAATTCAAATTTCAGTGTCCATAAATAAAGTTTTATTGGAACAATGCCCATTCCTTTATGTAATGTCTGTGGCTGCGTTCGCACTACAACAGCAGTGCTGAGTAGCTGCAACAGAGACCATATGGCCTGTAAAGCTGAAAATATTTACTATCTGTTGTGAGCGGCCATCTAAGATACAACTGTTGGTCTCTACACATCAGGAGCAAAAGAGTAAGAAGGAAACCAAAGTCTCAGAGAAGAGACTAGTCTACAGGGCTAATAGCCTACACTGAGACCCTGAGACCAGAAGAACTAGTTGGTGCCAGGCTACCCCTACCAACCATTCTGATCAGGGCCACAATAGATGGACCTTGATAGAAAGGGAGAAAAACACAGAAACAGAACTCAAATTCTTAAAAAGCCCAGACTTGCTAGACCAGTTGAGACCAGAGGACTCCCTGAGACTATTGCCTGGAGATACTCTTTAAACCTTGAACCGAAAGTATCCCCTGAGATCACCTTTTAGCGAAATAACAGAGTGGCACCCAAAATAAAGGATAATACCCGTAAGATCGGTGCTCTACTAAAAAACCATCTATATGAGACCAAGAGGCCAACAATTCCTCTAAAGCAAGGTTGGGAAGATAAGAGGGCAGGGAGTACTGGAAATAGAAGAATCAGAATGCGATTAAAGAGAATGCTGACACATTGTGAAAAATGCAACTAATGTCACTGAACAGTTTGTATAGGAATTGTCAAATGGGAACTTAATTTACTATGGAAATTTTCACCCAGAATAATAAAATATTATTAAAATATATATATATATTTACTATCTGGCTCTTTACAAAGATAGTCTGCCAATCCCTGATCTAGAGCCTTTTGTTGCTCATAGACTCCTCTGAGAATTGCACAAGAGCTCCAGACCCTTTCCCTTTCCTTGGAGAAATGTGGGAATGAGTATACATACACATTCACACACACACACACACACACACACACAGTTTTGCAGAGTTTCAGGGGTTCTCTGAGAACTCAAAGCCCCTCCATTAATACTAAGGTTAGGTGAGAGCCTTGTCATAGTTCAATCCCCTGGTTTTACATATAGTGGAAAGTCCCAGAAAGGAGGTGCTGCTAGCCCAGGGGCACATAGCAAGTCTCCGGGGGAGGGGATAGTGGGGATGTGGGGGTGGGGAGGGAGCGAGGGGGTAGGAGATGGGGTGGGAGAGGCCTACCTGCCTCCGGAGCTCCTGCAGCTCCCTCCGAGCCTCCAGCCTAGAGCGCTCCACCTCCTGCAGCCCAGCCCTCAGCTCCCCAGCCTCCTTGCCCACGGTTGCCCGGGCCTCCTCCAGCAATGCCAGCTTCTGCTCCTTGTCTTCATTGGCAAGCTTCAGGCTGGAGGGGGAAGAGGGAAGAGGTCAGAGGCTGCCCCAGGTCCTGAGAAGAGTATAGTCTGTAGCCCTACACAAAGTCCCTTTCCCTAGATCCTGGACTGGGTTTGCTGGCCCTTGGCCTAGAGGTGCCCCAAGTGCTGCCTGCTTATATGGCCTCTCCTGAGCTTAGCCGGGAGGGGATGACCCGTGACTGCAGGACAGGGAGAGCCTAGTCTCCACAGTGATGACAGCAGCTAGGTCGGAGTCTGGACCAACCCTGCCAGCTGCCACCTTTCCCCTTCCTGCAGGTAGGAAAAGATCCCCGGAGGTCTTGTAGATCCTTTCACTGTGGCTGGAGGGCAGAGAATCCCCATCTGTGCACTTCCCCAGAACCTTGAGGGTGGTGTTAGGTTCTAGGGATGAGACTCATTCGGTGAGGAGGACAGGGCTGGGTGAAGGACTCAAGACTGGTCCCCACATCACCCCACCTGATCCGCTCGCTTTCGGCCTTCTTCACGGCGGACCGCAGCTCCTCATTGGAGCGCCGCAGGGCCTCGCGCTCCTTGGCCCCCTCGCTCAGGCTGCGCCTCAGTTCGCCCACCTCCTGGCGCTGGACCTCTCGGCCTTCCTGGCTCTCCCGCACCTTGCGCTGGGCTTCCAGCAGCTCCCGCCGCATCCCATCACGGGCATCCTCCAGCAGGCGCAGCTGGGTCCGAAGCTCTTCAGCCTGTAGCAACAGAGAGGTAGGTGTCCACAGGACATGGCCGGGACGCCACTCAAGCTGGGCCCTGGCAGAAAGTAGCCCTACCCGTATCCTTGGGCACAGGGTGCCTGCCCTGTTCCTCAGCAGCAGCTCAGACCGAGGCTGTGAGCTATGATTTGGGGCACGGCATGCTGGGAATCGGTGTTTGTTGTTTGTTGTTTATTTTATTGTGCTAAAATTAATAGAATAACGTCCCTATGTGGTACAAACGGTTTGTGTTTGACTAACCCGTTGCCGTTGAGTTGATTCCAACTGATAGCAACCCTATAGGACAGAGTAGAATTGTCCCATAGGGTTTCCAAGGAGCTGCTGGGAGATTCAAACTGCTGACCTTTTAAGCATTTAAGTGGTTAAACACTTAACCACTGTGCCACCAGGGCCCCCTTGTGCTCGGCTGCTAACCTAAAATTTGGCAGTTCAAACCCACCTAGTAGTACCATGGAAGAAAAGGCCTGGTGATCTGCTTCCGTTAAGATTACAGCCAAGAAAACCCTATGGAGCCGTTCTACTCTGTGACACATGGGGTTGCCATGAGTTGGAACTGACTTGATGGGCAACTAATAACAAAATTTATATAACAAAACATTTGCCATTTTAGTCAGCAATGTTTGGGCCTAAAGTAATTAGTCAGGATTGTCCTATGGATGAATGCCAAGAGGGCAGGGACCCCACCAGCTGCTCCTTGAGGCCCCTGAGGGGCTAGGTACACAACAGGTGCTTAATAAATGCTTGCTGCAAATGTCTAGAGACCAAAGTTTACTCATGGTTACCAGGGGCGAGAGGAAGGGGGAGAGAGGGAGTCATTGTTTAGGAAGCAGTATGTTTCTATTTACAATGATGGAAAATTCGTCAACAGATATTAGTGATAGGTGTACAACATGTTAATGTAATCGATGCCACTAAGTTGTACACATGAAAAATGTTAAATTGGCAAATGTTGCATTATATATATTTTTACAACAATATAAGTAAATAAATAAAAATGAATGCTTACTACCTCCATTCTAAGTTGGCCATTGATTTGTCCTCAAACGTAGGAAGGAATCTTATACTTTTTGGGGTCCCCACAGGACCAGGCCCCCACAGGCACACAGCAGCACTTAGTGTGTGCTGACTAGGAGGGTGTGCGGTGGCTGCTCACCTCACGCAGGCAAGAATCCCTCTGCCTGCCCAGGTCTCGGGCCTGTTCTTGCACCCTCTTCACCTCATGGGCGTGGGTCGCAGCAGCCTCCTCAAGCTGGGCCCGTAGGTCCCGCAGCTCGGACGTCAGGGCATTCATGGTGCTCTGGAACAGGTAGGCACCTCAGACTTGGTCCTGTTCCATCTTCCCTTCCCCTAGCTGAACCGTCCACTCTCAGCTGCAAATACAGCCTCGCCTGCTGGCCTGTCAGATCCTCTGCTGACGCCTCTACGTGTGGTGAGTACTGCCATGTAGCTGGTCTCCCCCTCAGGCCAGGGGATTCTCCAGGGCAGAGCTGTGCCCCACTTCCCTCAGTTGGAGACTCCCAAGGAAGCGGCTGTGCCACCTCCCTCAGACTGGGGACTCCCAAGGGAAGGGGCTGTGCCACCTCCCTCAGATTGGGGATTCCCAAGGGAAGGAGCTGTACTACTTCCCTCAGACTGGGGACTCCCCAGGAAGGGGCTGTGCCACCTCCTTCAGTCTGGGGACTCCCAAGGGAAGGGGCTGTGCTACTTCCCTCA